ACTCTGTTGAGTATCCTTATTTTCATGGTAATAAAAGTATTTATATAAGTTCAATGAGAATCTGTCTTCCTTCTAACAGGACGTAATTGGAAAAATTGGTTGTATAGGCTTTGACTGGAATGTCATATTTGAGAATGATGCATAGAATCAGGTATTATCAGAGTTTTAAGGAACTGGAGTTGACTTTATAAAGGCAATGCTTACAAAGCCCTTTTGGAAAAACAGATCTGGTACCTGGTTTACAGGGTTCCCAGCCTTACAGATGAGTAAGGAAGGTAACTTCTTGGAAAGTCCAGGAATCTTAGGATATTTTGGGAACCTTGAGAAGAGAAGAGTTCACCCAAATCTATAGGTATTACAGGCTAAATCTGGTGGTGAGTTCTTGGCATGTCTTCCTAGCCTTGAGAGGCTTTTAAAAGTCTAATCTGAGGTTCTTCATGAAAAGTTTCAGCAAAGCAAACTCAAAAGGCCTAAGTGGTCAGTTACCATTCTTGATGCACTTAAGTAAATAATCAGGCCAAATCTGATAAGACCAGACTTATTTTGTAAACAAGAATAAAAAAGTGGAGTGACTGGAGAGAGACATTTTATGTTTCAATGGAAAACTATAGTGCACCCCTCTGGGTTATCAAATTCCAGTCCTGTTCATTTTCTTGCACATTCTGTCAATTCTTCTAGTTTCCTCCCATATCTGGCTACAACTCTACATAATGTTTCCAGTTTTTGTCTCCTCCTCCTAATTTGGCATCATTGAGACCTAAAACTGCCCCTTTCCTGAAACCCTGCAAGCTGAAGCTGGATGACCTGATGAAAACTTCAAAGAAATCACCACAACAGATCATGTATGGGCAGCTTTCGTGCCTGCTACTGTGTGGGCCATTCAGAAAGTTCACTGGAACACCTGATGCCATCACCAAGGACATTCAAACTGCAAAAGATGCTTCAAGTCCCACATCTAGAAATCTTCTCAACTGTCTGCTGTCTGAACTCAGAAACTAGGTTTATAGTCTGCTCCAATCATTAATCTTTGTTTTTCTTTTTATTTGTAGAAATTTACCTCATTAAATGCCTGACTGCTCCTACCTACCACCTTTAGCAAATATCCTCCACTACCAAGTGTCAACTGATGGCTCAGCTGGTGCTTAACGAACAAAAGGCAACCTAATGAGAAATGGGCTTACGTTACTTTTCTTGACTTACCCCGTCCTTGCCAGATCTGCATAGTGCAGTTTTAACAAGAATCCTGCTAAATCAGTTTAGAGAGAATTCCCCATCCTCGATATCTGATCACCTTCAATATCTGATCAAATTCTGCATCCCCCCCCCCATACCTGATCGCCTTGGCCTGCCTTCAGCAAAAATCCTAAGTCTGTTTAACTAGAATCGTCCCCTGCCCCTGATAAAAATTCATTCCACTGATCTTCACTCTGCTCCTTGGCTATAAATCCCCACTTGTCCTTGCTGTTTTGGGAAGGGTGCCCAGTTCTATACTGAGATCTCTTTGCCCCTATTGTATTAGTTCCTGAATAAAATCTGTTTTTACCACTTGATTACTGTCTAGCTCTGGGTTTTTTGTTTTTTTTTTTTTTTTTTTTTTTAACAATATCAATAGTATACAGTCTGGAAGAACAATTACTATCGTGTGCAAACTGACAGATATTTCAACTTGCACTTGGATAAAGCCAGTGATGTGCAAAATGTGAATCAGTGCTTTGTGTACAAATAGAATGTCCATGAGGGAGCAACATTTGACAGTTTTCTGTCTTATTTATCACTGGAAACCCAGGATATGGGAAGAGATACATTGAGATTAGTTCTGATGGTATACAGTTGTGTGAAAAGGCAGGCAGTGCATTTCTATTCAAATAGAAGAGGCCTCTAGTGGTAATTTACATTTTTGTATTTACAGAGAACAGTTGGTGGTCAAAAATATGTAATTTTATTTGGTTTATTGTTGAAGTAAATACTCATAATTATTAATACTACCAAATGGTAGCTTTTGAGTACATTTATGCCTTTTTGATATACCATGTGAGAAATTGGGCAACAAGTGTAAGTCTGGCTATGAGGAAAAAAGATGCTCATGTGAATTTTTAAAATGAGAGAGGAACAGATTATGATGCTGATAATTCTAATAAGACCATTTTGAGTAACTTACTTGAATGACATGTCACAGCAGTATATCTATTCAATATGTCGAATTGCTTGAACCTTTACTTTAGGCTGAAAATATCTCATTTTTTAAATTTGCAGATGAGAGTTTAGGACTTATTTTAAGATAACTGAGCTGTGGTATAAATGGGTTAGACTTTGATACTTTTCAATACCATTCTTTAACAATTTCTTTACTTTCTTTTTTTTTGGTGAGGAAGACTAGCCCTGAGGTGACATCTGTTGCCAATCCTCCTCTTTTTCCTGAGGAAGATTGGCCCTGGGCTAACATCCATGCCCATCTTTCTCTACTTTTACATATAGGATACCTGTGTCAACATGGCTGGATAAGTGGTGCATAGGTACGCGCCTGGGATCCGAACCTGCGAATCCTGGGCCGCTGAAGCGGAGTGCGCGAACTTAACCACTACACCACCAGGCTGGCCCCAACAATTTCTTTACTTTTGAGGAAAGAAATACATGATTTATTATCATATATGTTTAAAAGTCACATTACTACAAATGAAATATTACATACATAATGCTTCATGAAAAAATGAAGAAATACTTTTTAGAACTAAGTGCAGCTAGAGGATGGATTAGGAATCTATTTACTCTGTCTCCCAAATTGAAACAGTTAACCTTTCTGCTTTCATTTGTGATATGCTTATGAGTTTAATGCCTGATGGAGTTCTGAAACTCATCATCAGTGAGAAGTCTTTATAATTTCTGCATTCACAATAATCCAAATATCCAGAATTTTCTGACAAAGCCACCAAATATTTATTGCCATCCAACAATCTTTAATTGGGAATCAGGACTTTCTAATTTGGTAAAAGTAGTAAGAATAGAAACTGATTGGATGTGGAACTCAAGGTCTTCTGACTCAAAGTCTTTTTCATTGGGCCAGGCATTGATAGCTTGGTAAAAGCACAAACAAAATCTGATCTCTTTCACTGATAGGGAATAATAATAATAACAAATATATTGATACTTTATTCAAAATAATATATTTTGAAAATATTTCTTAACTATTGTGGTATTCTGAATATGGATGCTAAAATAATATGTCACCTTTGTAAAAAAAAAAGGTAGTGTTTCTTTAGAGCTTATGATGGAGCAAACAGTATTCTAAGTTTAATGAACTCATGTTCATTGGGAAGGAACCAGTAATTTATAGACTGAGGCATGGAGAGAATAAATAACTTATCCAAAGTCTCCGAGTTGTTAATTGGAAGAAGAAAGATGTGAACAGAGTCAGTCTGGTAGTAAAGTCTGTGCTCTTAGCCATTACCTGACAAAGGAAAACAGTACTCTAGGATTCCCTGAGGTGGTCAACTCCACTATAAGTGTTTTTTGTTTTGAGGTCTTCTAAAGTCTTTCTCTACTCATTTTTTTTTTTTTTTTTTGGTGAGAAAGATTAGCCCTGAGCTAACATCTGTTGCCAATCCTCCTCTTTTTGCTAAGGAAGATTGACCCTGGGCTAATGTCCATGCCCATCTTCCTCTACTTTATATGTGGGACACCTGCCACAGCATGGCTTGATAGGTGGTGCATAGGTCCGTGCCTGGGATCTGAACCTGTGAACCCTGGGCCGCCGAAGCAGAGCGTGCGAACTTAACCACTGTGCCACCGGGCTGGCCCCTTTGTCTACTCTTTTAACATACAATTTCCCCACATTATTCTCATTATTATTATTACTACTACTACTACTAGTACCACCAGTGAGTCTTCTGATTAGAATCCTTTAAGGAGAGAAGTGGTTGCAAAGAAGGGGGTACTTTGGAGGCAGGGAGAGGAAAGATCACTTTCATGGCACAGATCGTTTCCTTAGTCTTGGCCAATTTTTTCTTTGGCTATGCAGGCCCAAAGACACTTGAAGTGACTTGTAACCTATCACCTTTAATCCCCCAGATACCTCAAAATTACATGTTCATTTGAGAATGTCTTAGTGAATTAATAGCATTATCTTCCTCCTTGAAAGATTTGCACAGATCATAAATACTTTTAAAAGCTTGAGTTTATAAATCAGCTTTTCTAGAGATATGTTGAAAAGCTTTTTATGCATAGCAATTTAATGTATTTTTAAGCATTGATTTCATACAGCTTTGTTTAATATGTTTTAACATTACTATTTGTTAAAAATAAATGAAAATTCAAGTTATAGTATTGCTCTAAAATGTTTAAAAATATGTCAGGTTTTAGAACGTAATGTTTTGGCTTCTTTTAAATATATCAGCTTGCTGGCTGTTATGTGCAGGACAGAGCTATTTCTCTTTTAAATCTAGCAGTGCCTTCTCTCCTTCTCGAGTGAAAGGTTAATACAATTTGATACGAAAGAAGCAATTTGACACATTCAAATATTCTTGATTCAAACCATTCTGAGGGACAGCTTGTTACTTAGAAGTAGCAAAGAGCTGGACCTAAATTTTTTTATTCCCAGTAAATATTCTTTTCAAGGATACCTTTTAGGTAGCTGAAACAAAATAGAAATAAGCTCGTTCACTGAAAATTTATTTTGTTTTGGTAGTTGCACATCTTTTTCTTATCTTCTTGTGAAACTAGTGGCATATAATTTTATTTTAAAATTGTTATTTTCATAATAATAGATGCTAAATTTTTTGTTGACCAATATAACATATCTAAATTTATTAAATGTCTATTATATATGTGATACTGCATTTGTATTGAGGAATACACACTAAATAGAGAATAAGTCACATCCCTGGTACTTACAAATTTATTTCCACTTGTCTAATGTGTGACCCATATTGGTTCTTGTATCAAAATTGTCTTTATTAAATTAATTAAGGATATTACTATTAATATAGATTCCTTTTTTGTTACAGAAGAAAAGACCCAGGAAACATCACAGGTGAAGAAAAGTTTGAGTGAAAAAGTTTCTCTCTATAGAGGTGACATCACATTGCTAGAGGTAGATGCTATAGTCAATGCGGGTGAGTAGCTGATTTTTTTGTGATGTATTTGTTATACAAGTATTTATTATTTAAATTATTTTTTTTTGTAAACAGGAATATAAGTATTTTAGAAAAATATTTTTATTGGTATAAAAATGTCTTATGTATTTCCCTTTTTGATTGAAAATATTGAGGATTTATTTTATGTATGTGCTGCAATTAATGTGCTAACTACATGGTATCCATACTAAGTTGAGACTAGAGTACTGGACCACTGGAGAAGTGACAGATTGTTGCACAAAGTTCTTCAGAAAGAACTTTATTTTTTTATTTTTTATTTTTTTGTGAGGAAGATCAGCCCTGAGCTAACATCCACGCTAATCCTCCTCTTTTTGCTGAGGAAGACCGGCACTGAGCTAACATCTATTGCCAATCCTCCTCCTTTTTTTTTCCCCCAAAGCCCCAGTAGATAGTTGTATGTGATAGTTGTACATCCTTCTAGTTGCTGTATGTGGGACGTGGCCTCAGCATGGCTGGAGAAGCGGTGTGTCGGTGCACGCCCGGGATCCGAACCTGGGCCGCCAGCAGTGGAATGCGCGCACTCAACCGCTAAGCCATGGGGCCGGCCCCAGAAAGAACTTTAGCAGCTATATTATTGTTGGTTGCATGCTTGAGTTGATAAATGGCGAACATAAAAGTAAGTTCATCAAGCTTTTTGCTTCTTTTGAATAGGTTGTAAAGAGATGATTGAACTACACCAGACAAAAGGAAAATAGAAAGAAATTATTTATGTGAAATTATTTATTCCAAACCTCAGTTGTTTGGTTTCAACTTTTCATGTTTGTTATGAAATGCTTTATTTTAATTATTTTAGTAATTAATTATGTAAGTAATTTTTGTGTTTGAACATTGGGAAAATAAGTGTTATTTATGGTTGTCTGTATCGCCTATATATTTTATTATGTGGCTGTATATCAAGAAAAACATAATAGTCGTGATTCTATAAAAACAAATGTCAATAGTAAGAGGATATTTAATGATTTTAATTTATGTTTTGGTAAAATTAGGCTCTTTGCAGGTTGAAAGTGTCAAATAAAAACAAATCTGGACTTAGATAAAGAGAGGCTTTATTCAAAAAGATTATTACAATAAGGGGAGGAGGACTATTGCAATAGGAACAGAATATTGCAATAGGAAGAACCACTTTGATCATGAGATCTGTAAGCATCTCCAAGGTCAGGCAGAAAAGGGCTTTTCTTTTAGAGAGAGGAGTAAACAAGCTGGAAAGAATTGGGTGTGGGATGAGTGGGTAGCATGATCGGACAGTTGATCAGGGAATGTTTTTCCCTAAAGTCAGCTGATTCATGGGAGGGATCACTAAGGAGGGGTTGTTCACCTTCCATTGCTCAAGGATGGGCCAAGGTTTAGGGCTTGGAGGAAGGAGAGAAGCTTGACGAAACTTTGGTCAAGTCCAGTTAATAGGCATTGACCAACCCGAATGGTCAATGGAGATAATCAGCTAATCATTTATGAACCACAGTGGGAATCTGGAGAGTCTGTGTCTTGGCTTTGTCACAGGGTACAAGGGGTCATCTGTGAGTTTTATCTAAGTCATATGGGGAAGCGTGGTTCTTTGCAGTAAGAGGTTTCCAGGAACGCAAAAGGGTGGAGGGTGGGGGGGTAATTTCTTGACAGTCCCTGATTTCCAGGAGTGCAGAATTCAGGTAAAGTTCAACATTTTCTCAAGGTTCTCTTCGGTGATGAGTAAATTCACACAGGATAGTAGGAACATGGCTTGGTAGGTGAACAGAAGGGTCTCTGGTAGGAGAACTGGAAACATTGATCAGGATGTAGCATAGTTCTGGTGACCTAGCAGGGAGTCTGGAAGCCTAGTCAGCCTGTTCCTGTCTCACAATGGGCTATTAGTTGCTTTGTACTGTATCTGCTTTGCCATAACCAGAGCTCAGTTTTTCACTTTCTTTTCTTCTTCTGATATCTCTATACTTCCTTTCTCCTTTGCTCCCTCTCTAAAATGTAAAACTCTTCATGAGAGAGGATCTGTTTGGGTTAATTTCCACTTGACATGAATCACTCCTTTTGAATAGAATTCCATCCTCAGATCACCTCATAGACTATAAGTCTCCCTTATATCTAGTATCTATGGACTGTTCATTTGTGGTCCTGGGTATCAAGATACTTTCCTTTGATCTTTGGGGCCTCTACAGAAGATAGGTCCTTGGAAAGGGTCTCATGAACTTCTCTCCAGTACAGAGAGTTAATTAGATATCACTGTAGTTAGTAAGTTGTCAATGATTTATTATGCCCTAAATTCTATAAACATGTGGGCTTTCATTTAAAAAAATTAAAAGCTCTTTTATTTGTATATATATATACACACCACCAGGCTTCCTGTATATTCTTGTAATTTCTAGCCATTGATCCCAGTTCTGTTCTGTGATGTACGATTAATGACATATATTTCCTTCTTAAATTCCTGAAGAACACTCTCATGAGTTTTCTCTTTCTTCTTATTAATATAACATTGAATTTGCCACGTTATCCCACTTAATAGTAGTAATTAGGGTTTTTCTTGGGTTTTGTTAACTATATACCTGTTTGTGTCCCCCTTAAGGCTACAGGCTAGTGTCTTTTTTACTTTTTGTGTCACCTCCCAATACAATGCCTTGCCCTTATGTTCTTAATAAACACCTGATAACTATATATTTGTTAAATTGAACTACATGCAATTGAATTTGTGGCACCTCTGACCAACAGCACTTTCAGCATTGAGGACTTGACACAGTGAACCAATTTGGCTCTGATTTGAAAAATAATTTGTATGATCAATAAATAAAAATAATTTTGGGGGTAATTTTTATTGAAATAAATAAAATGGGGCTAAACAGGAAAACATCCTAACACTATTTTGAATGTTTGTCCTTGCTTGTATGTGTAATTTTTTCATAACTGCCACAGTGTACAAGTGTTTGATGAATTAATATGAAGGCAGGCAGCAACCTTCACTCACTCCCAAAAACCATTTGGCACTGTTAGCTAACCTCTCTGGCTGAGATAATTATAATTTGGCCATGTTCTGCATCTTAAAAGGACCACTTCATCAGGAAGTTCCTGAGTAAATGGAAAAGAGATGCCAAATGTATAGTGTAATGACTCTACTTACAGCTTTCTGCTGTGCAGTTTGTTTGGCTGGTGTATAAGGAGAGGAACAGCTGTTAACCTTTCAGGTGAACAAAGCAACATGGCAGGAAACTCCAGAGCTGCCTCTAGTGAGAGGGGAATGAGAGGCGGTGCCCCCAGTCAAGGTGCCAAAGTAGCCCAATCATCACTTTCTGTCAGACTTCAAAGTTCTCCCTCCGTGTCTGTATTAGTACACTGGAACACCTGGTCTTAATTGCCATGAATGAAATGATTTGATATTTTAAATTTTTTCCTAATAAAGTACTTTTTGAACTTTCTCAGATTTCTTTGAATGTGACCCAGGATGAGCCTCCTATATATTATATTCTTCTCTGTAGGAAATAATGCATATTTGGTATATTTTAATAAAACAGATTTTGTAGGCAGTAGGGTACACAGGGCAGTAGCACAAGTTTTAGAGTCAGGCAGACCCCAGGTTCAAATTCAGGTTCTCATACCCAGGGCCATTTTTTGTTTAAAATTTTTGTGTCAAAATAATTATAGGAAATTGCAGAAATCCTACAAAGATTCCTGTATAGCCTTCACTTGCACCTGTGTATGTCTCCTCCAATGGTGACATCATATAGCTATGATGCAATAGCAAAACCAGGAAATTGACATTGGTACATGAGTCAATTTCTAGAGTTAACTAGAGTATAGACCTTATTCAGTTTTCGCCATTTTTTAACCTGCATTCATGTTGGGTGTATGTAGTTCTTTGCAATTTTATCTCATGTATAGATTCATGTAACCACTACAATCAAGATATAGAACTGTTCCATTATCATGAAAGAACTCCCTTATGCTACCCCTTTGTAGTGGCACCCACCTCTCTGCCCCACTCCTTGTTCCCCATCTCTATAGTTTTGTCATTTTAAGAATGTTATGTAAATGGAATCATACAGCGCATAACCGTTTGAGATTGATTTTTTTCACTAAACATAAAGCCCTTGAGATCCATTCAGATTGTTGCATGTATCAGTAGTTAATTCCTTTTTATTGCTGAGTAGTAGTTTGTTGCATGGATATACCAAAGTTTGTTCAATCATTCACCCCTTGAAGGATATTTGGGTTCTTTTCAGTATTATGCTCTAACCAATAGAGCTGCTATAAAGATTCATGTACAGGTTTTTGTGTGTAGCAGCATATAGGATGCTATGTTTTGTGTGTCTAGGTCCTTGTATAATTTTGTACTAAGCCTATTGGTCAAAGAATTTTGGTCTTTGCTAGAGCTCAGGGGCGAATACATCCGTCTAATTTATGGTTCAGTATTTTATCATTAGAGACAATTTCATGTGTATCACAATCACAGAAAAATATTTTGCAGGAGATGTGATTTTCATTAATTTGTGGATTGCAAGCTGTGTAATGAAAAAATGGTTAACTCGCCAACTCTAATGGGTTGACTTTGGCCAAAGATTAATTCAATTTGCCATGAAAAAGATTTTTTTAAATTGGAAAGTGAGGAAGGTTGATTTGTTTTTTTTAGTTTTTCCTGTTCTCACCACAACATGCCAAAGAGAGGTACCTTTACACTGTGATTAATCATAGAGGGCTTGGAGTCAAATCAATCATGATTTTAAATATGCCTCTTCAACTTCCTGGCCAAATGACCTTCAATAAATTATTTAACCTTTCTGAGCCTTAGTTTGTTCATTGGTAAAATGGAGATAATAATAGGACCTGCTTCACAAGGCTGTTGTGCAAGTCGAAAGAGATAATGTATACAAAGCACTTCAGACAGTGCCTGTTATATAGACACACTCGGTAAACGGTAGCAGAGTTATATGGCTTAGTTCTAATGTCAGAAAAATGATTCTTTTCTATGACTATCACAAGGTAATTATACGTGTTTTTCAAGTCTTATGCGACATATGACCAACTAAAGGTGTTTATACTATGTCCCACAATTTTAGCTGTTATACTACGTACTTGAACTGTGTCTAGGAAAAGTCCAATTCTGAGGTTTTAGAATAAAAGCCAAGTTTAACAACATTGTTGGTAATTTACATGAACTAATGGCCAAGGGAAAAGAATTATTTTAGTTTACTTCAGTGATAAGTGTTTTTATTGCATTAATTGCAAATGTCATAATTACATCAAAAATTGAGATAGTGACATATGATTGGATAGATAACCATTTAATAATTGGGTATAATTTAATTAAAAGTTGATGTAGAATATCTGAATATTTACATAGGTAAATCAGGTACTGGGACTGTATATGATGGAAGAAATTTTACTTTATGGAAGTTTCTTTAAATAATCACCTCCATTTGCTTACAATAAATGTTATTTTTATATATTGTTCATTAAAACTAAAATAAGGCATATTTGAAATAAGAATTCACATCATTGGGAAAAGAGGTTTATTTAGTCTCAGAAATATTTTAGGACAGTATTGATAGCAACTACTTGATTCAATATGAAATTTCATCTCTACTAGCAAAGCACTAAAGTTTTATTCATCTTTGAATTTTTGTATTATATATTTTTTCTTTTAACATTTTGTTGAGCAGTAGTAGATACAAACACACACACATAAGTGTACAGCTCAATAAATTTTCACAAATTGTCA